TTCTCTAAGGGTTTATTGACACACAATTGTGAAAACGAGCTGCTTTCATTGAGACTTATTCTCTAGTTGGGCACCTTTCAGTTGGCCACAATCCAAGTGCTGCTGTTTAATATGAAAGGGCACAGTAATGTACATCTTCCTTCTCTGCCTTGCATCCAGCCCCTGCATGTCTCCCCAAAACTGACACAGCCCAATTCCACCAGGGAGTATCTGGCAATCGGTGAAGTCACATTCTCGCCAACCTGGTGCAAGAAGATGCAGATCCACAATTTTCACATGGAAGAAACACTGACAGGAGTTTACCTCACAAAGAAAGGAAAACTTCGCAAAGATATTTAGACACATAAAGCAGCAAGCAGTCCCCAGAAGGGATACATAAACCAACCATTTGGTGCATATCTGCATCCTCAGATGACTCCATATTTTTTAAGAGCATTTCTCTGATGAAATTCCACTTCCTAAAATACTTAGTAATTGTTGTTTAGAATTAAAGTCGAAGTAATGTGACACATAAACGTAAATAATTACAATTTCATCAGCACACAGGAGCAGCTCTGATCTTTAAAAATGGAAGCACAGCAACTTGGGCAAAAAGAAAATCAGGCTCATTTTTTCATAATTTCTCAGATTAAAGTTATATATTAGCTAAAATACAGTGTTATTACTAAACCCTTAGGCTTCAGAGCACATCATGCCACATGTTCATTTGGCTGTTAAAAAAGAAGCAACCAAATGATTAGCATTTTTTCCAAGGACAGTTGAGATTAATAGTTTGAAGTAATTTTTTTAATTTAACCATGGAACTTGAACACTGAAATTAGAGTCAACTTTAATAACATTTTATTTCAGAAAACTCTAAGTCCTTGAGCACTGATCATAAGATGGATAGAGCCCTCACTGTTAGCAATCTTGTCTATAATTGGAAACAAACCCCAACTATTAAATTTGCAGAACTTGATAGCAGCACAGCCAACACTTGTCCCTGCAAAGACCCAGAAACCAGGAGTGAAATCATCACCCTACTGAAATCAGTAAGCGATTTTCGGCGACTTTTATGGTACCAAGCAGGATCTATTTGTTCCACAAAGATACCCACAGCAGATGCAGCTGGGACGGGTGAAGGACATGACATCTCTGTGCCTGACTCACGGCAGTTCCTCTCTGCTCTAAGACATCCATTTTACTGAACAGAATCAGAAACCCTTTTATCCCCATTTCGTAGACAAAAAGAAGAGAGAGGGGATGAGAGAGCAGTAATAGAACTCCCAACTCACATACACGGGAGAAAAAATCCTCCCTGCTCTTCCAAGCGAACATAGGCTTTGTAGGCATCGCAAACACCCCAACGGGAGTCAAGGAATTCCAGTTGCCCTCAAATTGTGTTCCTTTCTTTTTTTGGATGCACAGAAATCCCTTCTTTCTGTGATGCCTCTCCCTCACTCCCAGCTTTAAGACGCCTCTCACTCTGCCTGCTAGCACCGACAGACAAGTGACTACTTGAAGATTTTGGAAAGCTGGGTCCAGGCCCCGCTAACCACAAACCCACCAAGAGATAGCAAAGCTCTCCCTGGAGTTTCCCCCCCAGAAGCAAACAGCAAGCTCAGCTCTTACAGCCTGGGAAGGCTCACTTGACATTCTTTATCTGCAAGGACTCCATTAGCAACTTCCCGTAACGTAAAGCATATTTTAAAACGTCACTGAAAATAAGGGATAATTAAAATGTAAGAAGTGTCATCTTCATAAAAGCCACAGGACTAAATAAAGTCTTGGAGGGCCCTCTCCTGTACATTCCGTATTTCTCTACGTGCACAACGTACCTTCCTCTGTAAAATCTTGAATAGACAAAGCCAGTCTCCTCTGTACCTTTAAAAATATCTGAAGTAGTATTTGATTAGTTCATTAGGAAAAGCTCCTAGTATAATTTTTCCTCCAAGCAGAAGACAGTTACGTGCAAAAATTAACTCTCAATTCAGAACTACGAAGACTCAAAATCCAAATCCCATTTAGGCAGTTACCAGGTCAGCAACAATTTGATTCATTACCAAAGAGCTAATCTAGACTCGAGAAAATTGCTTTCATTTATGCATCTAGCCTAAGAAAATGGTAGCAATCGTCATTCTTTAGATGACAGGATTGTCACAGCAACAGCTAAGAACTGCACAAATGTGTACTTTTTCCTTTACAAAAAAATATTTACCCTCTCTTGGCAAAGCACAGAGAAATCAGGTAGGAAGAATATTTTCATAACACTAATATTTACGTCTTACTGATTTTTGGTACTGTGAATTTAGATTAATGAACAAACAGACCCCACGGAAACAACCTCTCTTACCTTGTCTCAGTTTGATTTATTAAGCAATGCAATTACCAGTGACAAGCCCACAGAGAAATGCACTAAACACTTCAGAAAGAGGAAAACCTTACCCACATATTTTTTGTGCCAGAAAGACTCCTTTCTCTTACTGAAACCAAAGGAACAGCAACAAAAATACCTACCTAAACAGTGAAAACGTATTACGACCCCCCTAACAAAGGAATACTGCAAAGACTTATTTTCTACATGGTTCATTTATTGTTGCTGAACAAAGAAAAGAATAGCCTTTATGTTTCCTCACAAAGTAGAGTGATTTGCAGGGGAGAAAATAAATAGTGACCTCTCTTTCATTTAAAGGGAGCGAGATATGAAGCAGTGGGAAGAGAGATGCTTGTAAATTACCACCAAAACAACAAATACTTTAGTTCTCTAATCCTCTCTAGGAAATGCTATGAAAAGGTACGGAAACATTTGTGGTGGATATTAAATGGTTAATATCTGGCCGGGATTCCCCGCCAACACAAATTCCGATGATTTGCCATTGGATGTTGTCAGCACCGATGTCCTGTTATAGTCAGTCCACCGAGATCCTCCCTGCAGCTTTCCTGCCTCGGGCATCTCTGATGTACGGGATCAGAGTCTGGAGCGTCCCCGTTTATCACGATGTTTCCCTCATCCCCCCTAGCCTGCACACACACCGGGCACCGCTGCTCTTCAGAAGAAGGCACACAGGAGCAGGCAAGTCACTAAGGTCTAACATGGTAGCTCCGCACAAAAACTAAATGCAATAAAGCCCTTCTGGAAAAGAGTTTGCTTTCCAAGCAAGCCTTTTAGCCATGAACAGCCCTGAAACATTCCCAAGTATTACACAGCTGTTTTATGGCTTCTGGTGTTAGAGAGTTTACCAACACACTGCAAATGTCCACAGACCTGCTGCTCTCTGCTTGCATCCATCTTCATATTCCAACCATAAAATGCAAATATTATCTGGTTCAAACCTTGCTGATCTAAATCAGTAAGCCGTACAATACTGTCATATTAAAACGGCATCAGAGCTTGTTTTCCTGCAGCGTTCCTGGAGCCTGCATTCTAGATGTAATTACTGTACAATATATATAAGAACCAGAGAGAAAGGCTTCACTCCGAGCGCTGAAACTGAGAAGAAATCAATACAAAGAAGATAAATGTTTCGTCAAAAGCTGCAGAGGTATTAACCCTCTCTCCAACTTAGTTTCTTTCTGCTTCAAATCATTTTACCATGTGAGAAGCTGCAGAAAGGAACGGGATGTGGTAGGTCTTATCTGCTTAGCTCTGTATTTGGCAATGGAAAAAAAATATATTTCAGAAAGAAAAATAAGAAATTATTAAAAAAAAGGAAAAAAAGGAAATAGAAGTGGAAGTTCCTCTAAAGCCTCTGGAATTTCATTCTTTCTTTGCACACTTGCACACCTGGAGGCAGCGAACAATCGAGGCTGTCTCAGGAGCCCACGGAAGGGACGTGAGAAGTCGTGGGGTGGGGGTGGAACTCACCTCCCTGGGGAGGGGGCTCGCCCTGCCCCGGGCGCCTGACCCCGCACGCACCCCCACCGCGGCCCCCCGCGCCGCCCCCGCCGGGAGGAGGAGGGGAGGGCAGGGAAAAGCAAACACAACGCAGCGAAGCCCTGGGGGGGTCCAAGCCGTGCTCACCCCTCAGGGCGATCCGCGGGCCCCTCAGGACACGCGCGTGTCGCGGGCACGCGCCGGGCGGGGCCCGCGCTGCGCGCCCGCGGAGGGGCGCGCGCCCCGCGGGGGCTCCCGGCGGCGCCGCAGCGCCCCTGGAGGGCGGCCCGGGAACTGCGCGGGGAGGCGGCGGGAGCCACGAGCCCCGAGAGTTCCCCCGGGCCGGGGCCGCGCCGGGGAGATGCGGGTCCCGACGGGGGTCCCAACGGGGGTGAGGGCACACTCGGGCCCCGTTAAGCTGCGCCCCTGCAGCTCGACGCGGGGCGAGAAGCGATGCAGGGACACCGGCCGTGCGGGGCGAAGTGGGGGGGTTGGACAGCGCGGCGGGCGCCGGGAGCCCCCCAACCGCGCAGCCCCCTCTCCCGCGGGAGATGAGCCGTGGTGGCCGCACAGACCCAGCCCCGGAGCGGGGCGAGCGCGCAGCCCCACGGCCCCCCCGCCCTGCCAAGGTCAGCAGGCGGCACGGCGAGACACCCACCGCGGACACGAGTGGGGCGGGGAGGGCGCGGACCCGGCACCGCCAAGTTTCTGGCGGGGAGCGCGGGGCTGCAGCGCGGGGTCGGAGCGCCGAGTCCCGCTCCCCTTCGGAGCGGCGAGCGGCGGTCCCGCAGCACAAAGGGAGCTCCAAGCAGCCCCATGGAAGAAGGGCAGCGTGCGAGGAAGCCCCCCTCTGCCCGCCCCACGCTGCCGGGGGCTGCATTGCACCGGAGAGGGGACACGGCGCCGGGAGCGCGGAGCCGAGCCCGGGCACCGCTCACGGCCCCACTCGCGGGCAGCGCTGCCCGCAGCCTGGAGGGTGCAGCGGAGCGGGGGGAGACCCAGCGCTGGGGCCGCCCGGGCAAAGGGGCCCCCGCGGTTCCCCGGCGCATCCTCCGCACTCGCTGTGTTCCCCGCCGGCACCGCACGGGGGTCGCGGACACGTGTGGCGGAGGCACCGGGAGCCCCCCAAGCCGCCGCGCTCACTCACCGGGGAAGCACACCACATCATGGAGCACGGAGCTGGTGATTTTCAAGAAAAAGATCCACCAACACGGTTGCAGTAGCCTCCGCATGTCCAAAGCCGCACATCGAAAGGGGAGAGGGGCTAAAATAATTAACACACGGGGGAAGGGGGGGGGGGGGGGGGGGGGGGGGGGAGGAAAAAAAAAAAGGAGGAAAGAAAAAAAAACTTGTTGAAAATAAGTTTCTCCCCGCACCCCTTCTTCCTGCGGGAGATAGCTGGGGGGCTCCTGCTCGCCTCCTCAACGCGGGGGGGAAGGAAAAAAAAAAAAAATCCCGCAAAGCGCGGGGCAGGGGGAACACAGCTAGGAGCGGCGGCAGGGCGCGGGGATCCCCCCCGCGCGGTGTGTGCGCGGCTCAGGCGGGCAGCGGGGCGCGCCGCATGCCGCGGACCGAGCGGGCGCTCAGAGCCGCCTCCGCGCACGGCCGGGCGGGCGGCGGGCAGCCGGGGCCCCGGCGCGCTCCATCCTGCCGTACAGGAAGTGGCGGGCGAGCCCGGATCCTGGCGGAGACTTTAAAGCGGGGCGAGGGAGAGGAGGGAGAGAGAGAGAGAGAGAGGGAGCGGGAGCGCGGCGCGCTGGCGGCGAGGCGAAGCGAGGCGGCGGCGCGCCGGGCGCCCCGGCGGCGCGCCCCCGCCGCCCTTAAAGCGGCCGCGGCGGCGAGGCGGGGGCGCGCTCGTGTGCGCGCACCCCGCACCGCAGCCGCTGTGTGAGCGTGTGTGTGTGGGTATATGTGTGTGTGGGTACCGGAGGGGTCGGGTTTGGGGAGCACCGAGCCGCGGCGATCCGCCGTTTGGAATTTCAGATTCCGCTCTCGCTCCCGGCGGTGTCTGTTTGGAGTTACTCGTGTCATTGTGCCGCGTGCGTGCTGCAGGGGGCCCCGGGATTGGGGATGGGTGTCCGTGTGCGCCCGTGCTCCCCCCCGCACCACTTCCAGCTGTGTGCATCACTCCGGGGACTGCCAGAGGTGTCCCCCACCCCAACCCCCCGAAATCACACAGTTCTCCATCCCCTTCCATTCTCTGTATCACTTCCATACACTGTATCACTTCCATATCCTTCCATATCCTGTATCACTCTGTGCACTCTGAGGTTGCCCCCACAACACCACACAGCTCGATCCTTTCTCTGGGAATTGCCAGGAATTCTCATCAAAATCATATTGTTTGTTTTTGTTTGTTTGTGTCTTTTTTCTCCTCCAATAATATTTATCTTTTTGGGTATTGCAAGAGACACATCCACCCTCACCACCCTATAATCGCAGCTTTTCCTCCCCCAGTAATGCATATCATTCTGGGTATTGCCAGAAGCATCCCACAAAATTGCCCCCAGTATTGTGCATTTTGCCACATACCTCCAGAGAGCCACCTCAAAATGAGGTAGTTGTCAGATGTTTCTGCAAAGTCAGGTGAAAGCTGTCCCAAGCCACGTTGCATCCACAATCCCCCCTGGGCAGCAGCTTTTGAGTGACTGATAATTTTGCACAGGAAACAGAAGCAGAAAATGGTGTGAATTCAGGATGAAGGGATGGCTGCTTGTACTTGGTATTTCCTGGCTGTGCTGTGCTCTGCTGAAGCTTAAATTTCATTCAGAAGTAGTTTTTGTCTGTTTCTTTGGTAATTATTTCCATTACAGGGATTCTGTTTCAGAAGGGAAAGGGTTTGGCTGGGCTTATCAGTGAGTGGTGTCTTCAGCTCTGGCTCTGTCGTTTGCTGTGACCAGCTCCTCTTTGCTTACCTACAAACCTTCCACATTTGTTGTGTTTCCCGAGGAGAAGAGGCAGTGGGCAGGAGAAGGAACAGAGTAGGAAAATTCACAAGTCATTTGTGGAATGGTGGTGATTTTCTCTCCCCCTTCCTCAGCTTAGGGGTCACTAGAGCAGAGCCCTTGGGTACTTAACATGCTGCACCCTGACTGTTTTGGAAGAGACTGTGGCTTTGTGTCCATCCAGGTTTACACCACACAGCACAGGGTGCCAAGTCAGTGGATTATGCTGCAGCCAAAGGGTCCCTCATCAGGAGGCAATCGTAGGCTTCCCTTTGACTTTCTCTTCACATCCCAGGTCATGCCTCCCAAAAGTTACAGCTGGAAGTTCAAAGTGCAGTCCTTACTGGGCATAACTGTGATCCCACTAGGGATTCTACCAGTATAAGGATTTAAGGACCTGATTCCATGTTCTCTGCCCTCAAGGACACGACTCATTGGGGTCTGCAAAGAGTAGAGAAGTCACTTGCATAAGGATTTATCTAAAGAAAAGAAAAAATTTATAGGCCTTGGAAAAAGGTCTTATCCAACTTACTGTTCATTAAATCATTTCCCAAAACAGGTAGGGGTTGGAGGTTTGTTTCAACCCTCATAAAAATAAAGCTACAATTTTAAGAGCTTTATTTCCCTGATTTTTTCAAAGCAAAACTCAAATCCCCACCTACCTTGACCTTTTGGATTCTGCAGTGACATCTGTGCTCAGTTACTTGTTGGGCTGCCCAGAAAAACCTGCAAAACATTCCACTTTCAGCAACTGATTCCAACTTTGCTGATCTAATGCAACAGATAAGTAGGCAGGTCCTACCCCAGTGCTGAGACTTGCCTCTTCAAATTATACCTCCCTGGTATCATAAGAGGCAATCTTATAGTGTTTCAATCTTAAAGTGAGTTTCAACAGGTCTAAGTACTTGAGAAAAGTAATCTCACAAAAGAAGAATAAAAGCAATGGATTTTTTCAAAGAGCAGTTTGCATCAGTATTTTTCTCAGTGATTCAAAATGCTTTGCGAAAGCCGTTAATTGCACCATTTTATATTAAAAATATATTTTTAAATTAGTTTAGGGTTTTCTATCCTGGAAAATGACAAAACTGAAACTGCCCCCGTTTCTTGGAATTGGAAGAGTTTTACATTTTCCATCCTCAGAGCAAACATGCAAGTAAGATACAAAATGCATAATCAGAATACTGTCTCCTGAGGAGCACAGATGACTTCAGGTCTCTCTAAGCTGCTAAGGAAGATTTTAGAAAGGCAGTGCTTCCATCAAAACCCAGAAGTGTTCAGGCTGGATATCCACGGTAGTCCCCTCAGGTCTGAACTTAAAAAAATCTGTAAAACCCCAATGTCAGCATGACCAGCTTGGTTCAGTCTGCTGTGGTACAACATGTACAATGACCCACTTTTCCTGGAGTGGGAAATCAATCATTGCATTGTCACACATCAGTTTAGGAGCTGTAGTGGCGGAAGCAGCTTTGTTTCACATTAGCAATTTGGGTGGGCAGAGAAATGGAAAGATGTATGATGGAGATGCAGGGAACAAAATTAAGCACGGTTAAATGAGAATCCATTTCCTGCACGCAGTATCTCTCTGCCCGGGGCACACTGTCTATCAACAATACACAGGTACAAATTGGCCCGGAGATGTATCTTTAACTATCCAAACAGAGCAAACTGCATTAGCAGGACGCTGCTCTATCGGGCTGGTGCCGGGTGACTGGGGAGCAGGCACATCAGATAGGACAGCAGATTCTTTCCCAGTGACTGAAGTACTGTGGGGTGATTAAAATAACTGCTACTGGATGAAGAGATTGAGAGGGGACATTATAATACAGTGCAGTTAAACCAGACTGATGGGTGTTCTGCAAATCTTGCAATATTTACCGTCAAGCATAGCGGGCGCTGTCAAGGAGAAAGCAACGGGATCAGCGGCTCTGGTTTGCATGGAACAGTGAATAAAAGAGAACTTCTGTCTCTTTTTTTTTTTCCCCCCTCCTGTTTGAACAGGTAATATTTTTATGCTGCTTTCATCAACATATGGGCATCACTCCTGGGAAAGAAATGAAAGTCTGTTAATTTATTTGATCAGGCATGAGAAATAATAGAAAACTGAAACGAAGACTCACATTTGTCATATGTTTGAATTAGTGAAAAGCTGAAGAAAGCAGAAAAATATTGCAAGGAGTTCAAAGATGAGAGGTTTTATTGAATTAGAAAATTATTAATAGCATTAATCATTTCCAAAACAGGCTTCTTAACATCTATAATGACTATGTAAAGGATTGGAGAAATAAAAATCAAAGAAAAAAAATCAGACATAGAAAGTTACACTTTTTGTGTGTGTTTAGAAAGAAAGGGATGAGTTTTCACTGATTTACAGTCAGCCAGCCTCACTGGAATGGTTAAGCTGTGGGGAAAATACCAGGTGAGGATCTAGCCCTGAAAGGATAATTCAACATGAAGTACCAAGAGGCAGCTACAGTCCAGATTACAAGTAACGTGACGTATAAACTTACAGGTTAATTCAGCAGCCCTAGTTCCTCTTCAGCTCCACACAGAAAGTTAAAAAAGGATGCTGAACTTGTAGTTTCATATATTATGTTATTGCAGAGTTAGTATCTCGTAGCCTCAGGACAGATGCCTTCTTCTCAGAGTATGCTGTGAGGCTTTGAAAGCCTTGACAAGGCATATGAGAACCTGCTGAGAACCAGAGGTGGAGGGCAAGCAAAGTACTGTGATAAAAAAAGAGGGCTTTATTTCAGTATAATCACAGCAAAGAGCTGTGTTGTTTGATTTATGAAGACATAAAAATAGATGAACTCAGAGGTGCAGGTAGAGAAAAAGGTATGAAAAATGTCGATGGGTGATGCAAACTCTGGGTGAAGTCATATGCTGTGGTCAGAGATTACTGCAGGTATTATAAGATGCACTCTGCAGCTCCACCAGCATTACAGGAATGAGCACTGATGATGCTCTGAGATGTCCTGGCTGGGCCGTGTTGGGTTTTGCACGGGGTTCTTTTGTAAGACCAATACATTTATTTCGTTGTGGTCTAAAAGAGGAATCACCACCTTAGGGCAGCCTTAGGCTAAATCATTCTGAACAGAAACTTGGTCACATGCTGGGATACCTACTTGAAAGCTTCATCTTAATCTTGAAGTCAAACAGCTCTTTTGTCTTCCAAAATGACCTAAAAGTGGTTGTGTTTGTAGAACGGTGTGTTAGGCCTGGTGGAGGGTCAGACTGATCAGCAACGTGTTTCTCTCTTCCAAAAGCAACTGTAATTCAGAGTCCTGTGGTATGACCTTGCCAAAGCTGTGTGTGTGTCTAATTCACAAATCCACTCCTGTTAAAAGAAAAGAAGACAAAAAAAAAAATCCATTCTCAGTGTAGCAGTGAGCAGAGATAATGTGTTAATGACCGGAGCTGAGGGATGAGCATGAGAGACCCAGTTTACCGTCCTGCTTGTCTGTTACCACTGCCAGTAACTCACCAGCAATACACTGTCTTTGCAGAATTTAAGCTGAAAACCGAGACAACAGACTTCTGAAATTCCATTGTGGGTGAAAATATTGTTTATAGGTTTCAAAATAATATTTGAGTTTAGTGAAAGTCTTGGGATCATCGGTTGCAGAAAAGTAGAAATGCTTTTGAGTGGGAAGGCTCTACCCGTGCTCGATGTTTTTACACTATCGTGCAGCTTGCCAGGGAGATAACTGCAACTGTCAGGTTTTTTCTACACAGTTAAGTTGACTCAAGGACAGGCAGGGTTTGCAGGCAGTGTGAACTCAGCCTGAATATAAGCTGCTGTAGGGAGTAGAGGGGGTGTGGTGTGATGGATCTGGATATATTATAGACACAGTTAATATGAGCAATCTTGTTGCCTCTAATAAACTCAACTTCCAGACCCCTTGACTTCCTGAGGACTCCAGAAAGCCAGTATCACAGTGAAATACCTACTCTTTTAAAGCCCTCATGCATTACAAGACAAACATCAGACTCCATCTTTTCTCCTATGAATAAACTGGTGAGAATGAATAAATTCATTGGAGGTGGAATTTCTGCTGTTCCTTTCCCCTCTTTCACTCCACTGGTGCTTTCTGCCAAAGGAGTTAGTGCAATATGCTGCTGCCCTGCTGCATGCATGTCGAAAAGATGTGTCAGAAGCTACTGGTGAAGGGTAAAGTCGCAGGTGTGCAATGGTCCCAAGGGGAGGGGCAATAATGGCTCTGTAACAAGAGGTGACCTTCTGCTATAAACCCATTGCTAATGGTGTCCAAAGCCAGACCCCTGAAACTGCTCCACAATGAAGACCAATCAAGCAGACTGCAAAAAACCACTTTTCTACTCAATCCCAGGAGGGCACTTTAAGGGGAAAAAAAAAAAAAATCTGTTCTATAAATGGTAGAACCAGACTCCAAATCTCTTTAAGGAAAGAAGTTAAAGAGGAACAGTTGCCATACCCATATTCATTCGGAGATGCACTCTTTGAGTGCAGGAATAAGATGATGTGCAAACTTCTGTGTTCTGGCTGCCTTTTTTAGTTGGAAATGTCTTACAATAGCTTGTACAGATGGGAATAATTACATTCCAGAAACTAATGCAGCCCCTGGTGGGGGGGAGGAGAAGGGGAAGAATGGCCTTGACAGAATAAGGAAAGAAATAACTTTTGTGAGTTACAGGGACAAGTAACTCCTTTTTTATTTTGTGTCCCTGTGTTGCAACAGGGAAATGCAGGTTGCAGATTACAGCATAGTTCTGTCTTTGCTATTCCTCTCTGGTTTCACAGATCTGTGTTTTTAGTGTTTTGGTTTTTTGTTTGTTTGTTTCTTTGTTTGGTTTTAGCAGTTATTCAAATACGGACTTGTGTAAAGCACTCTGGATTTGAGTGTGGACAGGCAGTACATTAGCTAATATGATTCCATTAAAAAGGGATTCCATAGTCAGTGCCCCAATTAAATGAAGAAGTGTCAATATTAATAAACCTTCCGAAGAAAGAGATAAAATCAGATACCCACAGTGACCCCTCAGACATGAATGCAAGTCAGATCAATACATACCCAGGAGCTCTGATGGAAATAGATAAACAACAACAATGTATCCAGGCCACTGTGATTTGGCAGAACTGCACAACCACAAAGTATCCTTTGTTTTCTCGAGTTTTACTTTGCATTCCCTTATTCTCCATCCAAAGAGCAGTGTCAGGGGCATAAGCTACTTGTCTGCAAACTCCAGTTTCTCACCGGAGTTCATCCTGTCTCCCCTTGATGCCTGGTCTAAAAAGGATTTCTTGGAAGCGTAAAGATGCCGTCCAAAAAGTTGAATAAGCAGTAATCCAAATCCCTGACAGCTTACATCCCTAATGCAACCGAAATGATTTTCATTCATCTTCTCAATTGTCATCAAATACGGATCCACTGCAACTGGGCACAACTCCCACAACTGCACATTCACTTTCCTGGAACTGCACCCACTGGGGTCCAACTCAAAGTTTTGCCAGCGCAAAGAAGGACGTAACCAAACACCACAAAAATGCAGTTGTTTCTTTCTGCAGTGTTTTGCTACTTTGGGAGTGTGGCAAGGCTGTGCCCTTATCTTTTCCACCCAGATTTCATGTTCATGATGCATATCTCCGTGCCATCAAGGTCTGCTGGTTACAGTGCACTGTGCTCACTGCTGCAGGATTGGAGGGTTTAAAACATTTTAGAATTTCAGCATCTGTTTTATGTTGATTTCAGGAGAATGGGAGAAAGGATGCCAAGTTCCAGAGAACAATAAGCACTTTGGGCCAAACTCTCCCTTTGTTTATACTGGTGTAAATCTAACGTCTCTTCATCCAGCTGACAGGTAGATTTGAGACAGTGTAATATAGGGCAGAGTCAAGCCCTTTAATATGGAAGAACACAATTGCTAGCTCTGGTCCACAGCCAAGAAAATATATTTAAGATATACAGTAGATATTGGAAGAAATTTTAATTAACCTTTTTTTATGGAGCTATTGGGTAAAAATATTCCATTCTGGACGGAAAACTAAGACAAAAAGGGGGAATGTTTATCATAAGTGACCTAAAGAGGAGTACAATTAACACATGTTTAGAACCTTGAATTGTTCTGTTAATCCACATGCATTTATAATTCCAAGTTTCAAAATAACTAATGATGTCCAAATAGATTTTAACATCTATTAAAGGTATCATCCTAAGATACATTGTTGGGGGAAAATGAAACTGAGAATGAAGTTGTTACGACTAATTCACAGCAAAGAAATATGAGACCTCATAATTCTTCCCAAAGCATCACAGTTAGTAAAATATTATACTTTTTTTTTTTTCCCTGCAGCAGAAACACAACAGAAAAACATTATTCTCTAGCAGTTAACATTAACTGCAAACTGGTGGCCACTTCTGAGCACGGGAGTGTTCTCTGGGCTGCATTTAATCCCTGTGAGCCCGGGCAGCCCCAGCCTTGCGGGCTGAGCCGGCAGCGGCATCGGCATCGTGCCACACGGGGGAGTCTCAATGCGCGCTCCGAGAAGTTCGTGTTCCATAAATCACTCGCTTTGAAACCTGATTTCTCCGTTCTGCCGCTTTGTCAGTCTGTCTGAGAGATAACACAAGATCTGCAACACTTAGCACAGCAAAAAAAAAACCCCAAAAAAACCCAAGCTGAAGCCACGACATTTCTGTAACAGAACGGCCTGTAAATGCAGCGTGTTGGGTTTTGGTGGTGGGAAATCTGTGCCAAGCATGATTTCTTTATTAAACACTGTTTGAGCCACCAACTTGGTGCTGGTATTGCCACAGAAAACACTAAGAAAAATTAAAGAAATCTCAGCCACTGGTAATGAAATACTATAGATTTGATGCGATCCATGAGGAAAGCAGAGGGTGCAGTAGGCTCATTGCATGGCACAGCAACACGGAATCTCAGCCCAGGGACAGGGATCAGCAATGCTGGAGCAGGATCCAGGCCTCTCAACATCACATTTCTCACTGCAGAGTGTGGCATAATTTTCTTCAGCTACAGGGATAATGGGCCCATGGTGTGGGCAGTCTCTGGGTGCATCTGTCCTGGGATTTAACGAGCCTGGTCATCTTGACAAAACTCACTTTCCATGAAAAACAGGCCATGAGCACTGGACATACAGCCTGAAAACCACACAGCACATACTGAGGGGTAAAACTTCCTCATTCCCTAGGCCCATTTCAAGCTGGAGGATTCAGCAATGACGAGGGTTCTCGAACAATGCACTAAGGGAAGTGTGGACAAAGGTCCCTCAAGATGGCACAGATTTTCTTGCACTGCACAGACCATCCTAAAGAGCTTTCTCTCAGATTTTTATACATCATTCATATGACCTTACCATGCCACACAGGAGACTTATTTCCCAGCTCATTGTTACCTGCTGCTGATATAGAGGGCTGCGAGCACAATATACTATTATCCAGCAAAACAACATGTACTGACAAACGCTGTTTAGTGAGCATTGGCCACCCATCTGAGAAAACCAGGGTCACTGCTGAACAATACCAAGAGAGGTCTCACTAGTTTCTTCTCCCTCCTCCATTCAATGAGCTGTTAATAGACAAGCTGTTAGAGAGAAAAAGAACTAAATAGTTTACAAGCTTACATTTGAAGGCCTGTGAATTGCATTAGCTGAGCCAGCTGAGTGAGAGCCAAGGCAATCTCCCCACGATTGTAGAAAATGTGGCATTGAGGCATGTGGAGGCAAAGAAAGAATGACAGTGACCAGGTTTACAATATGCAAAGCCAGAATAATTACTGCTTACTGTGATATAGAATTTTTAGCTGAACTATGATATGGAATTGAAGCATCTCCTTTAAATGCACAAATGTGCTTGTGTATTCCTATTTGAAAACTTTCTCTCTTTGACGCAAATATTATTTTACAGCCTTAATATAAACTTTCTGAAGTTGACTTTTAATATTTCCCCATTGGACCTTTCCCCTCTCTTCCCCTCTTTCTCTGCTGCACAGGCCATTCTCAGCATGAGCAATGACCACAATCTTTTTCATTACTCACTGGGTTTTTTTGAGCCTTGCAGTTATGAATAGGAATGTGAATCCCTTCCTATACAATTACCTGGACAATTGTTTGGGATCTGCGGAATTGGAATGTGCAGGTGAAAATATGTGGAATCCTTTGGTTGCCATTCAGGTCCTTGATTATGAAAAGTTTTCAGGTATTTTCTGTGAAAAAAAAATCCCTTTAAAGGTTTCAGAGAAACCATCATGTCAAGGTCAATCTGTTTCAGTGAAAGGCTGAGGATTTATCTAATCAAACATGGGAATCCTTCTCTTTTGTTTTGGTGGGTTGGTTTTTCTGAGCTGTTCAGTTTGCCCTCCTGTTAGATCCTTTCATTCAAGTTAGTAGTTTCCTTAGGTTGGCTGATCTTTATTTCTGCTTTTAATATTCCCTATTGATTTTATTGTAGTGCACTTACATGCTGTTCAACAGTCCCCTATTACTGTAAATAAAATAAGATAAATAACTTGGCTTTCTTTCTGCATTTAAAATATTTGGCAGCAGCCACCTCCATCCTTAACTGAGCATCTGACAGTGTTACTGCCAGTATTGGGAGGGCAGCCCTGCGTGCCCTCTCGTGTCACTGGTATCCATGCTAGTTAGATAAAGCTAGCTTGGAGTTTGCTGATATTACTGGTTGGCTTTATCTAGCAAGCAGAGGTACCAGTAGCATCTGTGCATCTGTTGGATGTGCAGATGGAGGCCGCTGCCCTCTTAGACACTGGCAGCAATAGCAGTGTTAACACGTGCATCTATGACCAAGCAAGATACTGCTTATCTGCAGTGTATGGGAAAGTCACTGAGGCTCCCATTTTCAGATCAGGCAGGTGTTATTCCTATCTATCACTGACAGGCTTTGGCTTAACTGGTCACTTAAATAACAACGATAAGATCCAAAACACAGGTTCATCTGTTTTCCCAGTTGGGACTCCTCTG